CCCCCATGCCAGAGTATTTTCAACATGTTCTCAAGTACTATCTTCTAGGTCTAAAGGGCCCCTGATGAAGGCCACTGGGGACTGTGCCCAGACCAAAGAAGTAGAAAGAAGGAAAAGGGATATGAGGAAAAAAGAAATGTAAATGAAGGGAAAGAAGGGAGGAGAGAAAGAACAAATTGTCTGAAGCAATTGTGACCCTACACACAGACAGAATAGATGCACTGGTACAGCAGATGTTCTCAAGCCAAGTATTCAGGGTATTCTCCTTTTCCTATTTTATCCATTCCTCTTCTACTTTACTTCTCATTTGGTCAGCTGTTGCTCATCCAACACTCTTAGAATCCTCATTCCTAAGTCTACCTGGCTTGGGAGGGGACCACTGGGAAAGCAGCAGAGGTAGAACCTCACCCAGACCTGAGTTTCTAGTCTGGCTTTGACAACTTTGGTATCATGTCTTGGGTACTGATCCTCAAGACTCTCAGACGGTGGGAGTGATGATATGGATCAAGGTGTTTGATTGCCTGTGGTTGTGGTGTGCTGCTTGTGCTGGGAACCCCCTGTGCAAAGGTACAAGCTAAGGTTGCCCAGTTGCTGTGGTAATGCGACCCAAGGAAACTGTACAAAGGCTCAGAATTATCAATCTTAACCTTAAAACTCAAGTTAACACTAGCTAAGTTAACACTAGCTCCCAGGGATAGAGGATTCTGAGCATAGCAAGATAACCATAATGTCTCCCTATAATATCTGACTCTGGAGGTCAGGAGTGGATGTGACAAAGGGTCCCAGGTGATGCTAATGTTTCTGGTGCAGGAACCACATTTTTAAAAGAATAACTAGTCTTGTCTGCCAAAATGATTTGTTTAATGTCCTGCTTTTATAATTCCACTTTGCTTAAAAATCCTTTGGGGGTTACCTATAAGACAGATTCTGACGTGTCAACTGTAAGAATGATGTGGTCACGTTTCTTTGTTTAGTGACTAGGAGGAAGGCCCCGGCTCCCTACCCACTCCTCTTAGGGTACCTTCTTGAAGAAATTGTAGGTCAATAAAACCTTTTGATTTTATAAATCAAAGTCTCTTTGGATCCTTGGATCCATAAACACTTTCCTCTGGAATGAGCTTGGGGGTCTCTAGGTACACAGGAGGCAGGCCTAGGGTGCACAGTTTGTCTCCTAAGGAGACAAGAGAAGTTGTGATTGTTCTGCATTCCACTGTACTACAAACATTTGTGTGGAATTCTGCCCACACTTTGTAGATACTTTCATGCCACCTATATATGCATGTAAATCTCTAATGCTTCTTCACTGGCCAATTACATTCCCTGTCTTCTGCCCTCATACACTGGTACAAAGTTTCTTTGTTGTTGTTGGCAGGATTGTTCATTTCCTGAACCACCTTACTCTCCTCTGAGAACCACACTGCTCTCAGAGAAGTGGATCCCTGCCTGTCTAAGCTCATACAATTAGATTCTGTATCCCAGGATCTTGGGGTAGGGAAACAGGGGCGGGAAGGAGATACAGATATGCGGAGAGAAGCAGGGGTGTTCTTGTGGACCCTCCATCTGGGGACCAGTTCCAGGGAGTTCCAGCTGCACTTCCCTCCTTGGGTTCTGCAAGCTACCCTACTTCCTGTCCAAATCCCCTTTTCTACTTAAGCAAATTGAGCTTGGATTTCTGCTAATTGCAACCAAAATAACCTGCACTGAGATACTCCCCGCTGACTCATGATGAAGTCCAGATTCCTAAACACAGTAGTATAGTCCTTCACAATCTGGTGCCTGCTTATTCACCACCTTTTCCTCAACACCTTCAACTTCTACTCTTGTAAGGGTCCGGCGAACGTCGGAGGAAGAGACCACCGACTCATGCAACAGCAAAAGGGGATTTATTGAGGATCCGATCCAGCGCACTGGGGCTCCAGGCTCGCTCAAGAAGGGAGAGTGGCCAAGAGCCCCGAGCAGGGGTTGAGCAGTGCTTAAGTACACTTTTTGGGGAGGGCAGGAACTTTACATACGTCATGGTCCCCTTTAACAAATCATCATATACCATGGGAAAATCAAACAACAATTCCTGAACATGATTAGTACATTCACTGGCGGGAACAGGTCAGGCGGGGGTGATAGGTCACTCCTAAGAAGGGGGGTACATTCAAACTGATTGGTTTGGGCCTTGAATGCCTACGTGCTAAACTGCACAGGGTCCAGGTTATTTAATAACTAAATGGTCAGTACCGGGCATTGTCTTAACTACCTCAGGAATTTCAGGTTCTGTGTGCAGTTCAGAAACTTTACAATACCTAGTCCTTTACATTTTAACTCAGGCTTTGCAGCTTAGAAACTTTACCCTTTCACTCTGTGTTTCAACCAAACCAAAATGCATTTTAGTTTTTTTCTACTTTTCAGACCCTGGTTACCGTGTGTTTTCTCAGTTTGTAATGCCTCTGCCTATTTGGCTTTATCAGTGTTGATGTGTCATTTCCTGAAGGAAATACTCCCAGAGGCACAGTTTCTTCTCCATATTCTCCCTGTTGTCCTAGCACAAACATATGAAATAATAATTACCCGTTGGCTTGTCTTTCTTCCTCCCTAGATTGTGAGCTCTGTGAGGGTAAGGGGTGAGTCTCAATCACTGTTGTATCTTGAGTGTCCAACTCCATGTCACATACTCGGTGGCACCTAGTAAATACTTGTTGAATGAAGGAATCCTGTGCCTTCTTTATCATCAGTCACCTGCCCCAGCTATAGACCAAGTTGAATGGGAAAGATGAAAATCACTATGGCCTCAAGCTATAGATTATGATTTGGAAACACTCCTGAGGTCAAGAATCAGCTATCTCCATGGTTTGGGAATATTCTATTACTTTCATTGGATCTTTTTTCCTCCTTATTTAATGATTGTGCCAGAGTTTCAATTAGAGAAAAGACCTCAGGCATTTATTGATTCAAATGTGCTGCATCACTAGGGAGATTTTGAGAATAAAACTAGAATTTAGCATATCAGAAATTCAATCCATCTGAGATCTCTCATAGAGGTTTGCCCTTGGGTCATTTAGCAGAGACTTTCATAGTCACTGCAAACTGTTGTCATGGTAATCATGGAACCTTTCATGATTTTCCTACTTAATGAAGATACTGGAAAGAGCCCAAAGGAATTCATACTTGGGTGTGCATTTGTCTCTATATTAACCCAATCATTGTTTTGAACACACATCTGCCCCAGGGCCTTTCCTCTTGGCTCTTGGTCCTGACAGGAATAAATAAACAACTGATTCCTTTTTAGTATTTCAGCCTAGAAGCCTGCCCTTTTGGCCTCATTTCAACAGGAAATCCCACATAGAGGGTTTAAAGGAGAAGAAGAAAAAAAGGGTGGTGCGTGAAGCAAAGATGGTTCTTTCTTTTCAAATGACTAACGTTGCTGATTTCAAAGCACTTGAATTTAAATGTCTCTAAAGAAAGTTTCGGTTGTGAGAGCATAGAACCTTGACAGTATCTAAAACCTTTATTTTATGGCCCTTTATAAACACACCTTAACTCAAGCCTCCATTGAGCCCACAAATTTGGATCCAGATATCCCAGTGTGCTCACAATATGTGAGTGTGAGATTTTCCATCTGTGTCCCATCCTGCTCATTATTTCTCAGTATCCATTCTTCCTTTTTTTTCCTGCTGGTACTAAAAGTCCTTACTTTTAGGGAGATATGTGGATGTTTGAAATCAAGGAGTTTCCCTCTCTCCCTTACTGCTGGCCAATGGTATTTAAAGATAAGTGTTATACATTCAACTTTCTGGACATCTCTGAGAAGGAGTTATTCTCCTCCTCATGTCTTATTAAGTGGAGAAGTGGATGGAGAGGAGTGTTGAGAGCCACAACCAAAGGGGCCCCAGCAAACTTCCAGCTGCCAGCTGATGATTGGCTCACAGCGGCCCCAGCAACATCTAGTTGATTGGCTCCTCTGCAGTGATGTTCATTGGGCTGTTTCCCTGCCCTTCAGACTGCCAGCTGATGATTGGCTCACAGCGGCCCCAGCAACATCTAGCTGATTGGCTCCTCCACGGAGCTGCTCATTGGGGGACTTCTTTGGCTCCGCCCACACAACCCAGCCAATCGGCCTCAAGAGCAGGATTGTGGGAGGTGGAGAGGCTGGGGTGGGGGTGAGAGGCTTGTGGAAGCCGGTGGTGGTAGTTGGGCTCTGAGGGTTTTTTCCTGAGGAGCTGTTTTGTTTGACGTTTGTAGTTCTAAAAATAAAGTTAGTTTCTTTTGACAAGTGGCTCCTGAATTGTGCCCAGACAGACTGCGGCAGAGGAGACGGCCATCTTGGGTAATGAACTGGAATCCATGTTGAGAAGGGCAGAATGACCAGACAGGGGTCTGGGTCCCTGGAGATGGTGGAGCGTCCATAAAAGCACAGACTCTGTTTACAGGAAACAGAAAGAAACTAAAGAAATTTCAGTCTTATGTATGTGCCAATTGTTTTGGACTTTCTGCCATCTAATCTTAATTGATACATCACCGAAAAGTGAAATTTATTTTTCCTCCTTCCACTGACTGAGTGTGAAATCCTTTGGGCTTTTCTGTGACATTTACCTTCTGATCACAGGGCATGCTCCAGGGTGGGCAGATTTACTGGACTTTTTTTGCACTAGCTGGACTGAATTTTCTAGCATGGGGAATTGAAACAGAGGTTGATGGCAGGGAAATACCTAGTCCAGCTTCAACATAGAACCATGGTGTTGCCTGGTGTGCATTTTAAAATTTTCTGGTCAGTGAAACTACATTCCTGTTACCTTAAAAACAGGTCTCATGTCAAATGCCCTTTGAAACGGGGTACATGATGAGTAAGACTCATCATTGTTCAGTCTGAATGCAAAGCAACCTGAGAGGACAGCAAAAGCCAAACAGAACCAAAACAAAAACCACCTTCCACATTCTCTAAAGCAAGTGTAACAACCCTCCACATGCGAGACAGATGCCTCATACCAGTGAGGAATGATGATTTTACTTACTGAACTTGGGCCTTTTAATCTTCTTAGTCATTTCTTTATTGGAATGTATGCCAGTCACCAGCAAAACTATGCAAAGAAAATAAAAAATGTTTAAAAATCTAATTAATATTATTTCACCYGAATGTTCATTCTCTTTTGGTTCTTACATTTGGTTGGATAATGCACAAAGCATTCTCACTGATGGCACTATTTCCCCATATATTAAGATTAGGGAAATGAGATACATAGTTTGTGTACTTTTCTTAGCCCCTGCTGAAAGGTCTTTTCAAAAAACGCCTCCTGGATACTTGTCCTGTGTTTTGATGCCTTTACATTTCACTATCCCAGTTCTACAGTCTCCATTTTCAAAGGAGGGAATGTGGTCTAGAGAAGTCTCCTAATTTGCCTGGTCCCAGGAATGAAGGATAGGGGTAGAAGCACTTGTACCCTTCTTGTTGTCTTTTGCTCTGTTCCACAGCGGGTTTCCAAATGACCAATTTCCAGACTACACATGCAGTGTGCATGTGTGTGTTTGTGTGTCCACACAAATGTGTGCTTGTATGTGTGTGTGCCTGTAAGTAACTGAGGTAAGACTGAATGGAGGAGAGATGTAAGAAGTCTCAGGAGACAGGCTGTCTGGGAAAGAAAAAAGAGGAGAAAGAGGTTGGGAGAAGAGGGGAGACTAGACACAAAGTCTGAGAAGTCACCTGATGGTCCCCTGGTCATCTACTCTAGAAGCCCTGGTTCTTCCCACAGTAATTTTAACTGCTTGCAAAGTATTGCACTATATGGATGTAGCATCATTTAGCCAGTTTTCACTTAATAAAAGTAACTTTAGTTTTGCACAGATAGCATTGGGGGCCCTGATCTCCTTCAGGAAGTACAGCAATAGGTGAAGTAGGGGAATTCTTCATCCTTTTAACTTTCAGGTTAGATTCCTGGTTTCTTTTCAAGCATGTAAGATGAACTTGAGCCTTGTATTTTTAAAAATAATGTTGACTGCTTTTATTCTTATTACAAAAATAATATACACTCCTTGCAGAAAAATGTAAAAGGCACAAAAACTAGTACAGAACTCCAAAGTATGTATTTTCAGACTTTCTCTCTTTCTCTCCCCTCATATCTGTATCTACATATATTCATATGGATACTTTCAAATATACATTTGATCATACTCATACTATTTTTAATATTTATAACTTATTTCAACTTCAGGATATCTATCAACATTTTTTTTTCTTGTCATTAAATTTTCTTCCCACAGTAATTTTAACTGCTTGCAAAGTATTGCACTATATGGATGTAGCATCATTTAGCCAGTTTTCACTTAATAAAAGTAACTTTAGTTTTGCACAGATTTATTATTATTTCCTTAAAATTAATTTAGGTGAGATTCATGCTCACCTAAAATTTTGGTACGTATTGCAGCCATTTCTCATGGCAATTTTGTATTCACAATGTGTGAACAAGCTCATTTTGCCATTGCTGCAATGATTCTAACTGTAGACAGAAAGCATTGCTGTTCCAGAATGCTGGTCAGTTCTCTTCTCCTCCTTCTTTCTCTCTTGGCATTCTTCCATCTCACTACCCAGGATGGCTCTGCTTTAACTTACTTCCGTTTTAGCTACATTTCAGAGAAATTCACTTTCTGAGTTGGGACTCAAGATGAATGTGGGAAAATAGAAGAATCAAAATAGGCACTTGACTTCCTAGCCTGTGTGTTGCTTTTTAACAGAACACTGATGCTCAATTTTGGCATAAAGGGACATAGGGGATCTCAAATTGGCAGCCAGTTTTGAAGGAAAAGATGGTAATGTCACCAAGTGTTTAAGAAAACCTTGTGCTTATATTTTAATTGTCTAGCTGCTATAGAATGAAAGTTTGTGTCCTTCCAAATTCATATGTTGACATCCTAAATCCCAAAGGGATGGCGTTAGACGATGGAATCTTTGGAAGGTGATTGGGTCTGTCATGAATGGAATGAGTGTTCTCATAAAAAGGTTCTGGGGCTGAGGATGAATCTCAGGGATAGAGCACTTGCCTAGTATGCACAAAGGCCTGGGTTCAATCCCCAGCGCCACAAAAATAAAAAACAGAACAAAACATCAACAACAAATCCAAGAGGCTCCAGGACAATTTCTTGTCTCTTCCATCACGTAAAAAACATGATGAGAATGTGGCTGTCCATGCCAGGAAACTGGCCTTCACCAAACACTGAATCTGCTAGTGCCTTAACTTGGCCTTCTCAACCTCCAGAATTTTGAGAAGGAAATTTCTGTTTTCATAAACCACCCAATCCATGACAGTTTGTTACATCAATCTGAACAGACTAAGACACTAGCTAATCTGTGTCAATGATGCAGCCACCAAATGATCCCGTTTTGTCCATGAGCTCTAGTTGTATTGTGGACAGTTGACGTACCATGTGCTACAAGAACAGTACCATGAAAGAGAACTGAGTGGGCATCAGAAGTCTAGCCAAGAAGGAGGAAGGAGGACATTTTTTAGGTGTTATTTACTTCTGCGGTTTGGTTGGGTGTGAATGTCCTTTTTATAGTAGTTTCTGCACAGTTTAACTCTGTATAAAGACTATATTTTTATTTTATGTGCAAAAATAAATATCTAGAATATTTTTTAAACAAGCACCAAATAAGTATATAAAAAATTAAGCAAGTGAAACAATAAATTTGTATGTAAGTTCTCAGAGAAAACCAAATACTGTCCTTCTGGGCCTTGTGGCTTTGACAAGTGGTTTATAATCTCTGGTATCACTAGAACGATAATATTTCAGCAAGACCACCCCATCATTTGTTTGGTCACCCAGACCCTCCAGGCATGCATGGCTGGTTCAGTTTAACAGTAGTGGCTAATAAAGTCACAATTGTCATTGGTACACACGGGCTATCCCTTCAGTTCATGTGCTTGTTAATTAAAGCTCCCCAGAAACCACTCCTCCAAGAGAGGGCTGGTCAATAAGGCCTGCAAATGTGCTTGTGCTTTGGAGCAAATCTTCATTTATCATCAGCAAGACTTCTCTTGCTACACTGGATATAGTGAATTGCATGTTGAACTTGGGTGAGAGAAACATCCGTCTTCTATTTGTTTTCCTAGGAAGCCTGGCAGAGCCCCAAGACGGATGGTGCCCACTTCCACGAGCGTGGTGGCAGATGGTTCTGCAAGTCAGCCCCGTTTGTAAGAGTAGTTAATTATCTGGCCATTTGTGTCTACAAACCTTGTGGAAATTAATTCCAGAATCCAAAGTTCCAAGGCAAACATGATTACCAGCTCTGTACCAATGCTTCTCCATTTTTTAAAAATCTGGTGTTCAGTTTTAAATAACTTAAAAAATTCTCAGTTCTCTTTGGTACTGCTTAAAATTTCAAGGAAATTAAATATTAAAAGTACTTTTTGTAATAAAAACTTTCTACTACTTCCCCCTTTCTCTTTTGTAATAGCAAGGACAGTTATATTAAGTGCAACTGTTTTTAAATCAATGTAAAAAACTGATCACATAATTTGTAAGTGGAGAAAATGCAAATGAATAAACTTGAAACAATGTTCAATCTCATTAATGATAAAAAATGCAATGGAAACAAAATGTTTTAGGGAATGTTTTCCTATTTCATGTCAGTAAATATGGAACACAAGATTAAACTTAAGTTTGGCAGGGATTTGGGGTTAGTGAATTTTGTGTGCTGTTCATGAAATCTAAGCAGGTGGAGCCATTCTGGAAAGCAATTTGATAAAAGGTTTCAAGAGTCTTAATTTTTATATTCTTTAACTGAGACAATAACACTCCTAGGAATATATCCCAAGTTACAATCATTGATATAGACAAAGATTTATGTAAAAAGTACTCATTATAGCGTTTCTAATGGCAATCTGGAAATAATGAAATGTTGGAAATGCCCCAACAATAGGGAAATCCTAGGCATTTATTACAAATGATGTGTAGAAGAACATTAAATTATCTGTGAAGTGTTCTACTCTAATCTTAAGAATAATTCTGACAAAGTTAAAATATATGCAGAGAAGTAACTGGAACAAGTACCAAAATGTTAACAATAATGGGATTAGGGTTTCTATTTTTATATTTTTTCCCTTTTATATTATATTCTTTATAAATAAAATATATAGTTTATATAGAACATTTCTTTTATCATTAAAAACAGGCAACATTGCTAAATTATGTTTACATTTGCTTATATTGAAATCATATAGGCTTACAATAATGAAAAGTGCTTTCTAAAGTTATCAGTATGATTAATCTGTGCTTATTATTTTTAGTTTTCCTGTCAGTAATAAATTATAATCCATTTTCCAGGTAAGACATGAAGTGCCAGAACATCTAACCAATAATCAAATCGATAAGTACTTACTGAATACTTATGTACCTAGACTTTTACAGAAATGTCTCCTTCTAGCCCAGAAACTTCTTACTGGATATTTTTTAACTCCTCAATATACTAATACAGGTAGTGTCCACAATGTTTTCTGGAAAACCGATTTGTAAAGCAGATCTTTTTAAAGCAGTTAAAAACTTCCCTAATAACTTAATTTGGGATTATGTACTTATTGGAACATTTAGCATCAAATAAATCAGAGCAAAGATATGACTGTTTATTTTCTATACCCACATAAAACTTAAATTTATCCAGAATATTAAACCCAGGAGAAGCTTTAGAGAGCATCTCTTTATTTTATGGAAAGTAAACTAAAGTCAAGGTTAACACTTTCCCTAAATCTGTAGTTATCTGGGGCCAGAAGTTGTAACTAGAACTCAAATTTGCTAACAACAGCCTTTGTCTCTTTATTCCACTTGCTCCCGGGGAGCTTACAAATTGATTTTACAAGGGACTTCAAAGACAATGAGTAGCGGAACAGCCTAAAATTTCTATGGTGCATTTAAAGACATGTAAAACAAACATGCTTATTTTGAAATATATTAATTAAATAACTATTGTTAATTTAACAATTTGGGGAGGGGGATCATTGGATGGCTCTGATACCTTGAAAATCTAGCATGGCTAAGAGCAATCATTTGTGGAGCAAAACTTATTTTGTATCTATGATATGTGTGGAGCACTGGAGATACCACAGTAAGACACAGCTCCTGTCCTCAATGGGTTTACCGTGTTTGGAGGGTCAGGCTAACGACAAGGCAAATACAGTGTAGCCGTGATGAGAACATAGGGGTCGAGGAAGCACCTAGGAAGATGGCCCCACATAATGGGGCCGAGGGAATCTTCTTGGAGGACCAGAGTCTTGTGAGGATGTGGGGATGTGGGGATGTAGGGATGGAGGAGAAGCATACCTGAAAAGGGAACAGCGTGTTCAAAGGCCTATAAGATGGACATGGACTTTAGGGAGAGGAACACACCTATCCTGGAGAATGAGTTGGAGGTGTAAGGATCTGGGTCAGGGAAGCAGTCATAGTACCTACCAGGGGYGGAAGTCATAAGAGACTCAAGGGAATGGCCCTGACCAGTGGGCTGAGGAGGGAGTTGCCCAGGATGCAGACCTTGGAGGACGTAGAGAAATCTGTGAACAGGAGTTGCCTTTGTTTTTTTCATCAATGGAGTTATTCATCATTTCCTACCCAGCTTTATTAAGGTGTAATTGACAAAAAATTGTGGTGTTCTGTCTGATGTCTTGACACACACACATCTTGTGACGTGATTAAATCCAGCTGATTAACCTCTCCATCACTTCACATACATACTTTTGTGTGTGTGGTGAGAACATTTCAGATCTGCTTTCTTAGCTAACCATGCTGTACCGTAGACTCCTTAATGTTTTGGCTCATAATTGACAAACACTTCCCCATTTCTCCATTCTCCTGGGCCCTGACAACCTGCATTCTACTCTTTTTCTATGAGTTTGACTTTTTTAGATTCTGAATGTGAGATCATATGGTACTTGCCTTTCTGTGTCTGACTTATTTCACTGAGTATAATGTCTCCCAATTTCATTCATGTCACAAATCAGACACAGGCTGTAGGAAGATTAATACTGTGATCAGGAGGCATTATTTCCTTATTTTTTAAGGCTGAATAATATTCCATTTTATTTATATATTCATCCATCAATGGACTGTTGATTCCATATTTTGGCTATCATGAATAATGATGCAGTGATAAAGAAGTGAAGATATACTTTCAACATATAGATTTTGCTTCTTTCGGATGTATACTCAGAAGTAGGATTGCTGGGTTATATAGTAGTTCTATCTTTAATTTAATTTGATATAAAACTCTTTTTCATTTATCTGTTGACCATTCATATATCTTCTTTTGAGAAATGTCTATTCAGGGCCTTTGCCTACTTTTAAAATTAGGTTGTTTTCTGCTAAATTGTATGAGAGTGTGAGATCCTTCTATATTTTGGATAATAACCCTTTCTCGGGTGCTATGTTTTAAAAATATTTTCTCCTATTCCACAGGTCGTCTTTACCCTCTGTTGACTGTTTCCTTTGCTATGCAGAAACTTTTTTAGTTTATGTGATCCCATATGTTAGTTTTACTTGTATTGCCTTTTCTTTTAGGGTCATGTTAAAAAAAAATCACTGTACAGAAATATCTAAAAGATTTTTTACTTTGCTTTTAGTAGTTTTATAGTTTTAGGCCTTATATTTAAGTCTTTAGTCAGTTTTGATTTTTTTTAATATGAGAATCTAATTTCATTCTTTTGAGTGTCTTATTTTCCCAACACTGTTTATTCAAGGGAAATTCTTTTCCTAGTGTGTTCTTGGCATCCTTCCTAAAAATCAATTGACTAGAAATGCGTAAATTTATTTCTGGGCTGTCTATTCTGTTCCACTTGTTTAGATGTCTTTTTTTTTTTTTAATTGCCAGTACCATGCTGTTTTAATTTGTATAGATTTAAAGTGTATTTTGAAATCAGGCATTGTGAGGCCTTCAGTTTTGTTCTTTTTGTTCGGAATTGCTTTGTTTATTTGAGATCTTTTGTGGTTTCAACAAATTTGAGGATTTTTTTTTTTTCTGGGAAAAATACCATTGGAATTTTTATAGAGTTTTTTTATCAAATCTGTAGATTACTCTGGATAATATGGACATTTTAACAATGTTGAGTCTTCCAATCCATGAACATGGGATATCTTTCTATTAATTTGTGTCCTTTTCATTTTTTTCATTAATGTTATGCAGTTTTTGATGTACAGATCTTTTACTTTCAGAGTTAAATTTATTCTGAAGATTATTTTTTTGCTTGATGATATTGTAAATGAATTTTTTTTAAAAGATACATTATTGTTTGCATTTAGAGGCGCTACTTATTTTTGTGTGTGTGTTGATTCTGTATTCTGTAACTCTGCTGAATTAGTTCTAATAGCTTTTGGTGTAGTCTTCAAGATTTCCTTTATATGCTGTTATGTTATATGTACACAGAGACAATTTAGCGTTTCCCTTTCCAAATTGGATAACTTTTATTTTTATTTCTTGCTCAATTATTCTGGAAAAGACTTAGTACTATGTATAATGGAAGTGGTATTCTTGATTTTAGAGGGAAAGTTTTGGGCTTTTACTTTCTAGTATGCTGTGGACTGTGAGTTTTTCATACATGCCTTGTTGTGTTGAAGTACAGGAGTCTCCTTTTTCTACATTGATTTTCTGCTATATGAAAGAGCACTCCTATATGAATGAGTTTTGCAGAAGTATAGTCCGAAAAAGGCTGAGGACAAAGGATAATCAGGTCTCCCTTCTTTGTTCTGTGATGCTGGGGAACATGGCATAACTCTAAGGTTGGTTTGTTTTGTTTCACTAAATTCTTCCTATTCCCAACCCCTTTCCCAGCTGAGGACAACTCCTATGGTTGGGGTAAGGCTCCTGGTCAAGTACCAAGAAACTTCTTCAGGGCTTTTCACAACCATCTGACAGGAAACAGGATGGTGCCACTGAGGATAAGGAGTGTCCTTATCTTTGGCTCCAGGAGAGTGTGGCCTAGCTAGGTCAAGCAATCTTGACAAAGCTGAACCAGCTCCTGGGCAGCCATTTTATATAGAGCTGGATGATGAACAGCTCAACTATATAATTTATTTATTTTTATTTTTTTAAAGATCTTTTATGATATGGACACAATATCTTTATCTATTTTCATGTGGTGCTGAGGATCGAACCCAGTGCCTCACATGTGCAAGCAAGTGCTCTACCACTGAGCTACAACCCCAGCCCCTCAACTATATGATTTATAGAAGAAGAAACAGGAGGCTTGATAGGAAGGGTGGCTTGCCAACATTATTAGCAAGTTCATGTTGGAGCCAGGACTCAAACCTGTACCCTCCCTCTGATTTCCAGTTCAGTATTCATTCTGTCATGCTGAAATCTCTCTTCCCTTCTCAGTGGTGCCACCTCCATCTCATCCTGTGCCCAATTCTACCTTGTAGACTCCCTATGAGCAGACCTTGAACATTCTCATTGTGTTATGGATTCAACTTTGTTCCCTCAATCCAATTTATATGTTGAAGTCCTAACCCCTAAGTACTTAGCATGTGACCTGATTCAGACATAGGCTCACAGTAGAGGTGATTAGTTAAGATGAAGTCATACTGGAGTAGAGTTGGGCCTCCAATCTAGTACGACTGGTATCATTATAGAGAGGGAAATTGGGAGATAGACCTGCACACGGGAAGGACATTATGGGAAGAGGAAGATAGAGACTGAAATGATACATCTAGGAACCAAAGAATTCCAAAGATTTCCAGTAAACCACTAGAAGCTAGAAGATAGTCATGGAACAGATTTATCATTCATGGTTCTCTAAAGAACCAACCTTGCTGAGACCTTGATTTTGAACTTGTAGCCTTCTGAACTGAGAGAGAATAGATTTTTGTTGTTCTGAGTCACACAGTTGCAGTTATTTTGTTACAGCAGCTCTAGCAAACTGAAACAGGCTATCCAAAAGACCTTTGTGCCTTGTCCTGGCAAGAGTTTCACAATGCTGACAGGGTCACTTTATCTGACAGGGCAATAGACAATGGGGTCAAATTTAACAGATTATTACCCAGGGCCTTGATCCTAAGCCCATTAGCAGTTTCCCTATCCTAGTAACCCCACTGTTCCTTGAAAAACCAATTCAAAATTGTACCCTCTGGTGATAACACAATTAAACAGTTTCATCTCAGGCTGAGTCTCCAATGAAACAAGTGAAGCCAAATCAGTGATAAGAATTTCTTTTTTTGAGAAATTAAGAAACAAGAAGACCCCAAAGTTCAGAATCTGTAAATATGCTATATCCAAAATATTTACCCGTTGCTGAAAAATACACATGAAGACGTGTGTATAATATATAATATATGGAAATACATATGCAATACATATTTGTTTTATATAAAAATGTACATACATCTGCATCCTGAATTTGATCTATTTTTAACATTGCCACTTAAACTTTTCTCCACAATGTTTATCATACAAAGAAATAGTGATTGTTAATGTGTTCTGTCTTGCTTTAAGACTTTTCTTGGCCAAATTCTTTGGACCTTAGGAAAATGTTAAAAGAGTATCCAGATACACATATAAAAGTACTTACCAAGGAACATTTCAATAACAGATGCCTTCATAGTGAGAACAACAATCCCCATAAATATCAAAATGGCACCCTGGGGAGAAAGAAACAATAACATGGTCATGTTTCAGCCAGGAGTCCTGAATTGGAAGCATGCGGGGATAGGCTGTGTCATTGTGCATCAGCTCCGGAGTCTTAGAATTCCACGCTTGGGCTCTCCATACGCAGGCCTGCAACGGTGGTTCTGGTACCCAGGGAAGACCCAGCCCAGCCACCAGCCTCTGATTCTTCAGACATTTGGTCTTTACATAGAAGTGAAGAGGAAACAACTTTGCAATTTTGAGAGTGTTTAACCAGTCTCCAAATGTGGACCATACCCACATTTATGGTGTTGAGAGAACATTTTTAGATTACAAATAAATCATTCATTCAATAAATATTTATTAAGCTTCTATTATAGGGCTAAGTTTTGTTAGGAAGAAGGTGATAAAATTGAATTAAAAAACAGTTCTCACTCTTAAAAGACTTACAGTTTTAATAGAGATGGAAAAACATACATGGACAAAAGAGTTTTAAGGTCCCATAAGGAGTTGAGAGGGAAAGTTTATAGAGCAGTGGTTCTCACACTTTGCTGAATATTAGCATCATCTGGGAATTTTTAAAAATCACAGGCAGCACCCAGACCAATGGAATCAGAATCCCTTGAGGTCTAGGCATTATACTTTTAAAAAACTCAGATAATTTCAATCTGCAGCCAAGTTCAAGAACCAGCATATCAGAGTATGGCTTCTCTTGATGTGTATACTAATCATGTGGTGATCTTATTAAAATGCAGACTCTAATCCAGTAGATCTGGGGCCCTGTTAGAGATGCCCCAAGGGGCCAAGAATTTTAAAGAAGGGACAGAGTATGTCAAGCAGGAGAACAAGAGAAAGCCTCATGGAGGTGTAAAAATTGGCTGGACTGGGAAGAATTAGTAGAGTTTAAATATTCAGAAATAGGGAGAAGAGGCACCAAATGAGGAACAAACATCTAGAGAGTCCCAGGGGTTGGAAAGTACAGTGGATGTGAAGATGCCATTAATTTATAAGTGATTCCCCTTCAGTTAAGGCTGTAAGGAAACCCTCCAAGGGTTACCAACATTACCATTAATTGAGCATGTAGTATGCACTCTATATTGTCTTGATGATCCTCACTGAATAGATGAGGAAACTAAGAGTTAAAGAAGTTAAATGACATAACCGTGGTACATGGCAGTAAGTGGGATTGGAACAGGAGTGGGAGTAGGTGGGAGGGGTCTGCCCTGGACACAGATGATAAGGAAGAACATTGCAGTGACTCCAATGACTTAAAGTTCATCTGCTTTCTATTAACTTTGTGAACTAGTGATTTTAAACACTATTGATGACTATAGCCCCTCCCCCAGTGTCACTGCTGTGTGGCCTAAAGCTGACCTTCACAGACTTACACTCTGTTTTGCCTGCTGGTGTGCTGGTGAATTCACTCTCTGAAAAGAAATGTTTTAAAAGCCCTGATTCGTACAGTTTGCACTTTTTTTTTGTGGTGTAAATCCTCCTACAATGACTGATTTTGAAGCCACTAAAGGGATACCTATTGAGTGGGAGGTTTGAAAAGAGGTGAGTACAATCTGGTCCTAGCTGGGTCCAAAATAAACTTACGTCCAATATTTAGAGGAGGTGCTATGAAGGGTTCATTAGCTAAAAGCAATTGCTAGATTATAGCTGAAGTACTATTATAAGTACCTGATGCAAGGAACTTAAATAAAACTGTTAAGTGTATGAAAGGTTTATTACAAATGATTAAATTAAGCATAAACACCCAAACAGGGGCTGGGGTTGTGGCTCAGTGGTAGTGCGCTTGCCTAGCATGTGTGAGGCACTGGGTTTGATTCTCAGCACTGCATATAAATAAATAAATTAAAAGGTCCATTGACAACTAAAAAAATATCTAAAAAAACACCCAAACAACATTGGATCACTTTGTTCACTTCAAGTGACAATTGCAATGTGTTACCTGTTATGATAGTTCACCACAGGTTAAGTAATAGACCAGTAATGATCGTTAGTTACACAATAAAAAAAATAAAATCATATAAACAATCTATTTGGAAATTTGATGCTTAAACAGCTGGGTTATGTTTTTGGAAACAGTGTGATAACAAGTCATGTTTCCCTTTTATTAATTTGAGAAACTCCTGAACAAGGTACATGTCTCCAGGTCCATAGGTCCAACTTCCAGCTTTCCTATCAGATAGATGCGGAATGCTAGCTCCCCTACTGGTCCCCATACTCAGCCCCAGTGCACACAGCACTACAGATTTCCCCTGAGGCATCTGCCTCTCCTCTCTCTCTCTCTTTCTCTCTCTCTCTCTCTCTCTGTCTCACCTCATGTCTTCTCGACCACCAAGCCTGCTGCTCTACGTTTATTCATACCCTATCCATAACCAGACCATTTTCCATCCTCTTTACCTGCTCCAGGCCACAACCCGGCCACCTGGATCATTGCTATTAGCCTCCTCATTAGGTTTCCTCCTTCATCTGCCCTCCCCAGGCCAGTCACAGCATCTTCTGCTGAGAACGCTACATGCTTACCCACCTTACTAGGAAGAAAAGTCAAAGTCTTTACAGACAGCACTAGACCCTACTTGATTTGGAGACCATCAATCCTCTGAGCTCCTTTCTCTGTGTTGTTCCTATCACCTATTAAGCCCCAGCCACCCTGGCCTCTTGGCCATTTCTAGAACATGCCTCTGACCTCAGGTTTCTGAGCTTATTGTAGTACTACTGTTTCCTCTGCCTGGATGTTGTTTTCCCAGATGAGTCATGACTTGCTCCCTCATTTTTTTCCAGTCCTCTCTTTAATATTACCTTCTTATGAGATATCCCCTAATCACCCAACTTAAAGTCATAATCACCCTCTTGCCTGCCACCAACAGGTATATCCTATCCTTTCCCACTATCTATTTCTCCATGTCATTCATCACTTCCAACATTCTCTATAATTTACTTATTTTATTTGTCCACTGTTTTGTCCCTACCAGGAGCAGGGATATTTATTCGATTTTTTTTAGGTTCTTAGTAAATACATGTTGGATCAGTAACTAAGGGTTTGGATGGGAGATAGGAAAACAAACAAACAAAAAGCGGGGATGTGTGTGTGCCTTCTTGTGAGTACACTGCAGCTACTGAATCATACACTTAACAAGGTGCATTTTCTAGTATGTGAGTTATTTATAATAAAAATAAGTTAATAAAACATTGTTGATAGCCAACAACTAACCCAAAAGGAAGATGAAGAGTGGATAGGAGTGCATTCAGAGCTGCCCTGCAACTTTAGAAGTCACAATGGACATGACCTTTACATGGTGGAATGGATGGATAAGGACCAAGTAGATTCCAGGAAACTCTCTAACCTCAGAGGAGTTATTACCCAGGTCTAACCAGCTCATCAGCAGTGGAAAGTGACCAGAATCATGCTGGTCTCTTGGAACCAGAATGCTTTGGGTTTCTTTCTCACCAGCAGTTTCTCTCCTTCTTCGTCCATTTATACATACACTTAAAACATAAATATGCCTTTTGAAATGTGTGGGAAAAACTCAAACCACCTTTCAGGCTTCCCAGAGGCTGGGGCTGAGGACCCCTGGCAATGTCATTAGGACACTTCTGCAGGTGGTTCCATGTCCTGGAGTCATAGGGTCCACAGAAATGGAGGAACCTAAATCGTTCATGTGCTCACCTAGGTTCTAACAAAAAACCAAACAATAGGAACTTCCAAAAGAATATGTTAGTGATTCATAAATTTATGGATTGTTCTTTGAGATGTAATATAAAGAATCCTGAATATGAAGTTCTGGTGAGACAAATGAAGCCTGGTTGTGAAAGAAAAAATATACAATTAGTTTAAGTAGATTAGTGGAGACAATTTAATTAGCTCTCATTGCCCAGAGTTAGATGAGAGGAAGTTGGTAATAAATAATAATAGTACCTAATATTTATAGAGCCCTTCATGGTGTTTTAAATAAGGAAACTTCATGTGCATTTCTGGAATGCAGGCTCCATTTGTTTCTCTTGCTTACTGTTCAGTTTCTAAAACTCAAAATACTGCTTGGGGGGCAACCACTCATGTTTGTTGAGAAAAGGAACAAATGCAAATTTGTCCTTCACAGTAATCCTGTGCCAGTGTGGAGGCTTGGATCAGAATTCCCACTTTAAAGATAAGGAAGCCGAGGTCTGCGGCAGGTAGAGGACTTATTCAAGGTTAGGAATCAGAAACAGAGAGTTCAGGGACTTTGCCCAAGCTCCCAAGGCTGGAAAGAAGACAAGAGAATTCAGGCCAGCATTCCCAGTCCCAAAGCCCTGCACTTCTGCCGGCCACAGCTGTTCCATGACAAGCAAATACACTTCACTTACATTCTGATTCAACTAGACTGCGGTGGTATCAACATTGTTTTAGAGCTTCCCAAGAGACTCCATGCACAGCCATTATCGAAACCTTCTGCTGTTAAGGGCACCATGAAGGCCACAAGGGTGGATGACACTGGGCCATGGGGGCAGGGACTCAAAGGGGCTTGAATTTATTAAACTGGCAGGTTGGAAAATAATGAAAGATTGGTGAGGAAAGGACAGGACCCAGGGACAGAGGAGCTTCAGGAACTGGGAGTTGCTCAGCCAGGCACGGAGAGGACTGAGCCTGTTAGAGAGGAAGGAAGGGSCCCTGTCGGCCTTGAATGTCATGCCTGAAGAATGTGAGATTGATCCTTTAGGCAATAGGGAGACATGGAAGGCTTAAGAATTATTTTTGCATTCATCATTTTTAATAAGCCCCCTAGAGGCCTACTTCAGCCACTCACTTGGAAAAAATCTGCCCTGGTGGACGTGTAGGATTTATGTTAATGTTGGTGTTTGTCTAATCTAGGAAGCTGCATGGGGGAGCACCCAACCATACTGTGTCCACGGGGTGGAAAGAGCCGGTATCCATCTGGAAACATTTAATAGTTATGAGAAGCTTGTGCTTTATTTCCAAAATGCCAAAAATCCCTTGAGGACAGACATCTCTGAGTGGGGAGAGGCCACA